ATAAACGAGTCATGGGTCTGAGTACAGTTATTGGATAGCACTATATTGTAGACAGATTGGAGATTATTCCTAATAAACATGCCGCTACAATTAAAACCATTACATTAAAATATATTTAAAATAGTGTATTTCAATAAATACAGCAGCGTGCAGATCCTCGTTTGTGTCAGATTGTGGCGACAGCAGCGCGAGTCGCTTAGCTCGCTCACAGCCTACCATATATCTATAATAACGGGAAAACATATCGTTTTTATGACATAATATGTCCTTATTGCGAGAAAAAATATGTTGTTTTAACGAGAAAAGATGTCATTTTAACGAGATAATTATATCGTTTTTACGACATAACATCTCGTTTTTACGAGAAAAGATGTCGTTTTAACAAGAAAACATCTCGTTATTACGAGAAAATATGTCGTAGATGTCGTTATAACGAGAAAAGATGTCGTTATTGCGAGAAAAGATGTCGTTATAACGAGAAAAGATGTCGTTATTGCGAGAAAAGATGTCGTTATAACGAGAAAAGATGTCGTTATTGCGAGAAAAGATGTCGTTATAACGAGAAAAGATGTCGTTATTGCGAGAAAAGATGTCGTTATAACGAGAAAAGATGTCGTTATTGCGAGAAAAGATGTCGTTATAACGAGAAAAGATGTCGTTAAAACGACATAACTGAGTGGAAAAAAAAATATGTGTGTGGCGTCAATGCGTCACCGTAGTTTTTGGCTTGTCTGACTCAGCATCCAAAGAAACACCTGTGTTTATATCAGAGTTACTATATTATTGAGACACTATTATAGCTTTTGTTCATATTTTGAATTAGTTTTTTGTTTTTGTTTTCCATTTTCCATTTTTTTAATTTTAGTTTTAGTAATGTTATGTTTTGCGTTGTTGTAATTTTAATTTTTTTTAAATATTTCTTTACAGTTTTTTTATTCATCTTTATTTTTAGTTATTTTATTATACTTTCCATCTTCATTTTAATTTTAGTTGGAGTGTTTTATGTTTTTGTCATTTTTATTAGTTGTCATGTCTATATAGTTTTTACATTTATTTTATTTTATTTTTAGTTATTTTAATATATCAAGTTAAACAAAGGAATATGAGAAATGTTGCCTTGACGACTTGCTCAAATAAAATAAGTTTGAGGGTTTTTTTTATGTTTTATTTTATTTAAAGTTTGTTTTATTTCAAGTAATGTTATGGGTGTTTTCATTAATATTTTGAATTTGTTTTTATTTTTATATTTTCATTTTCATTTTAGTTAAAACTTTAATGATTTTGTGTTTTTGTCATTTTTATTAGATATTGTTTTTTTAT